TCTCAGGCTTGCCGTCTAGGTGGAACACCACATACATATCATAAGGCACTTGTACTTAACAGCTCAATAACATTTCAATAAAAATCATGTCATGAAAACACATCATGCATATAAACCATCTCTCCATGAGGTATGGTGGAACCAATAATGGAAAAAACCGAGGAAACGAAAGCTTACCTCGCAAGCTAAGAACTCCAAAGTCAAGAGTCCACAACATACCAAGGTCCACAAACAGCACATCCACAGTCTGTTTAAACCACCAATCATATCAACATTTATAATCTAATATTTTATGACATAACAACAACGTTTTCTCTTACCTGTCATGCCATTAGGCTTCTCCCAAAGCCATAAGCCCTTAATTTAAGTGATTCTGGCTTAGTTCAACTATTACAGAGGTTCAACTTAGCTAATCATGGATCCACAAACCCAATATTCAATTCTGTATGAATAGAACAGTACTCAACTCGAAATTCACAGAATATCCGGATATATGTCGGGGCCATATCCGGATATCCATATCCGGATATCTCCAACCCCATATCCGGATATTTCGCGACAGAATGCAGTTTCTGCATTTCGCGAAGATATCACTCAAAGGTTGTTCTTTTAACGATTCCAGAGGCTACAACATGCATTTCTATGTGTGTTTAACCTTACCCACCCTTAAGTTTTTATATTTTGCTTATTACATGCATCAAGGTTCATTCTTTCTATAGAAATCAAAGGCAAAGGTGGTGGTGCTTACCACCAAGTCTTGAAACAGAGGCAAGGGTGCTCTTGGAGCTCACTTTACAGCTCCCAAGGTCAGACTACACCAAGGCCATGAATTTGCCTTGCAAGCTTGGTCCTTTCTCTTCAAAGTTAGCTTCTTAAAGCTCCAAAAGCCAAGACAATGGCTCCCTCCAAGAAACTCAAGAACTCAGCCCGTAACCACCACTAAGCAGGGACTCAAAACTCATAAGATGAGCTGACTCTCACCCTCACAAGGTTGTTCACACCAAGTTATGGTGATTAGATGAAGAAACTAGGACAAAAGGTGCTCACTTTGGCTCAAAAGAGGAGGGGAAGAAGGTGACCAGCTTGGAGAGCAATGCAGCAGCCAACTCACACATAAAAGGCTGAAGGATCAGCTTAGGGTTATGTGTAAGTTGATATTTATAGCATCATTAAGTTTTAAGCGTCAGTATTAGCACTAATAGATCCGCTAATCATTTTAATCCCAAACTTTGGATACCGAACCTAGCCATTTTTCTAGGATTTTTCATATTTTTATTTTATTTTTCCCAGCACTTTGCCGGTACGCGCTTTTACATAGCCGGTATCAGTCCTGACGCCATTTCTCATTATTTCAGATTCAAACTTGTTATACTTGACCTAGATATTTTCCCACGAATATTCATGTACTTATTATAATTTTTCGGGATACTTCATCGGTACACACTTATACTGTGGAGCACAACCGGTATCTGCACTTTTCGTCAGAAAAACGACTTTCAACATTAATAATCACTTAATATAATTATTTAAGACCTCTCATAATTATTCTAGGTCAATTATGGAATTATTTTATAAATTTACATTTAATTAAATAAATTCCTAAATTAACGGTGCGAGTTCTTACACTACACAAAGAAATGAGTTGATCAGGCTCACACTCAGTGATCACAGATGCAATAATCATAAAGAGTACCAAAAACAACTACAAAGCATTAAACACCAAGCAAACATAACAATGATCCACAAGTTTCTCTAAGAAAATGCTCTGATACCATAAAATATAACATCCCGTTACCAGACCGGTTTGTTATCATAAAAAATGATATTAAATGCAGTTACAATCACATTGGTTCAATTAATAATACAGATAAATTTTTCATTTTAAAACGTTGCTAATATAATTTATTAACAAGATCGTAAATTAATCTACCAATTTCGTGATTATAACCGTGTGAAGTTGCGGAATAACTAAAATCATGCTTAATATCATTTACTATCTTTATTTGACCTATTACTTATTTCAAGAGAAAATAGCTTTTTCTGAAAATTGGGGTGGGGGCCTTAATCCCCCATAGGCAGAGGGTTTTTCATTTTTTTTATTCGAAGAGAGGGCTGAAGCCCCTATTTTGGGTGCTTAAGCCCTCTGCGCGCGCTTAAGCTCCCAACTTAGGCGCTTAAGCCCCTGCGACAGAGAGTTTCTCCACGCACAGGTGCACCAGGGCGCTTAAGCCCCCTCTGTGGGCGCTTAAGCCCTCTGATCGAGCTTAAGCCTACATTTTTGGGGCTTAAGCCCCCTCCACCTGTATTTTTTGGGCAAAACACTAAATCTCTATTTTCATGTATTTCTCTTGGGGAATTAAATCTCACACACCATATGACCTAATTGACAATTTTACAACATCAATGGTTCAATACTTACATCTTCTACACCATTTCATTGTGCAAATCAAAATGACAAGACATGACATCACATTCCATTAATATATCAATATCCCTTTACATCCATGTTTTTCAAAATAAATACATGCCAAAGGACTTAGCTATCAAAAAACATGATCAAGCTATTAGCCATATACAACAATGCAATTACTACAACAATGATTGTGGACTAAGTCCTCCATACTACATCACATGGCCTCAAAATATATAGATAACAATTCTAAATGGCATGCAACTCAAAATGTCCAGCTATCAGATACAATCTACTCATGCTTCTTGCCTCGATCAACCTCACCTCTATCAGTACCTGAAATGATGCCCCATAACACGGGGTGAGATATATGAATATATCACAGTAAACCTGGGGTCCTTGGAGATCACTCCACCCTAAGGTTCTCTTTCTGTGAACACACAATGATACCAACTTAACACATTCTTATCCATAAACATCACATGGACTTCCAAGACAGATCCACGAAGGGTTGTTTCTCTTATGCTCTTACCACATGGAGATCCACACAGATCTATTTCCAAGGAAAGTCCCTAACCTCAATCTAGGAACCTCCAAGAGAGAACCACATATGGTTATTTCTCTTAGGCTCTGACCACATGGAGATCCACATAGGGTTGTTTTCAAGAGAAGTTCCTACCAATCATCCTCATCATAATTCTATCAATCATTACCTCAATCAATATTTACAGTCAAATATCACCAAAATAGTTGATAATCAATCAACGATCATTAAGAAAGCATTACATTTTATCAATGCATGAGCATGAACATACATTTTCTATCATCATTGCATATCACACCTCATAAACCATTCCTCCTCAACGGAGTATGGTGGAACAATCAAGGGGATCAACCCCAAAGTCCGAAGATTTACCTTAAACTTGAACTTCCGTTCACCGCTTTCCTTTCCTTAAACCACACAATCTCCAATTAACACCAAGACAACCTATAATCAAGGCAAGAGATGTGTTCATCAACTCAATCCACACATAATACTAAGTCCATGACTAGACAAACATCTCAACTATTCTACGTTACTCATAATTTCAACATTAACTCAACTTACCCTTGAAACCCAAAACTAGGTTTTTGCTCCAATGGCTCCTCTAATGGCCTTTCCTTTACTCGAGAGTCACCTTGCTCATAACTACACATAAAACAACATACCAACACATCAAAATCCATCCCACCATGGATGAATTTCGTGGTCAGTATTCACCCAAAACATAGATTCATAAAAATTCAAGGAAAAGAGTGAAAACTTACCATAAATGACCTTAGAGTGAAAGAGGAAGAAAAGCCTAAGCTCCAAACTCCTCAAAACTCCAAACTTCCTCAAATTTTCGAAATGCAGAGGGGGATATATCTCTCAATACAATGACCCTCCAACTAGAACCAAGCTATGGGTTTTGTAGATGATACAATTTGACACACTTTAGGCTTTGGAACAGATCGATTTGGTGGAGGAATGAAGGGGTTCGGGTTTGAGCTCCCTTCAATGGCTTATCCTTCTGTTTTCCCTCCCTTGGCTGTGTTGCAAGATGACGAAGAAAGAAAATGGGATGGTTTCTTGTGTTTTTACACTTACAAGGTTAGGTGGATTTTAACCGGGTAAAAACTTATCTATCTATTCACCTCCATTTACCAGCAAACTTAACCAAATGGTCTAGAATATTTTTCTAGGAATATTTTTAACTTTACTTCTATATTTTGGATACTTTTTTCTACAAACATTTTTACTTTGCTGGCTTCACTTTTTACCTCCAAAGTGACCCTAATTCATTTAATTAAATATTTTATTTATTTTAACCCACTAATACACGCTTAATTACTTAATTACATGTAATTTACTAATTAATCATGTTGAGGCTATTATAAGTTATATGTCTACATGTTGGTTATGCATGCTGTTAGACATTGTGGCACAGAGCCAAGTTATGTATGAGTCCATAAATGGATATATGACTTGTGATGGATATCCGATACTGTTGTAATCATAGATTATATAAACTATCTATTAGAATATCTTGAAAGTGAGATTCTCAAATCCCCATTTATCCGATTTACAGATAGTACTCTGTCCGATTTTCGTCTCAGTCAATTGAAAAGTAAACTAGAGGAAGTATGCAATATAATATACCATGTGAAAGGGATAAAAGAAAAAGAAAAAGAAAAAGTTAACTCATATTTTCATAAGTTAAGTCTTTCATTGTTTCTGTTTAGTATCATATGTATGTTAATTGCCGGCTCCAGACGGGGATGTTACAATTTTCCTTTGGCTACTACCTATATTTCATTGTTGGGGAAAAATTGATAGGTCCTAAATAATCAAAACAGAGAATATGAAAAACTTCTGTCTTGTTTTGGCTCATTAACACTAAGTTGCAAATTTACCGTATATACAGGTTCAAAACTAACTTTGCCTAAATATCTGTTTACAAAAATTAAAAACATATTCATAATTCACCACAACTAAACGTAATGAAGTTTAAGTGCCAAGTACAAGATACATTATTCAACATATAATGTTCGAAATAAACTAGTTTCACTATCTAGCTTTTAACAGTGAGATGGTAACTTCATTGACTGAAGAAGAATGTTCACCATCAATTGGGACCTTTTTAAGTAAGAAACCCGGTTCCTTTGGTTGAGGTAAAATATTTTCACTCGTCAACATCACAACCACGGATGTCATGTTTGGTCTATTGTCTGGATGATGTTGCAAACATAACAGACCAATTTGAATGCAGCGTAAAGCTTCAGATACAATACACGAATCTCCCAAACAATCATCAATCAATTGCTCTGGAATGCCCTCTTTCCATAATCTCCATGTCTACAATTCAATACAATTGTTATTTACTTCTTTATTATAGAAAAATCATTTTTCTTTATGTAATTTTTTTTTTTTTGTGTTACTCACATGGCCAATAAGATTATAATCGTGGTCATGGTGGGTAAGTGCTCTATTTTTCTTTCCGCTTACAATTTCTAGCAATAATACGCCAAAGCTGAATACATCTGATTTTATGGAGAATAATCCATCAATGGCATATTCAGGTGCCATATAACCACTGAAAAGAACCATACAAGAATTAATTTGGTGTACAATTAATCATAGTAACATTGTAGCAACTTTAAAATACTTACTATGTCCCAACTATTCTTCTTGTATTCCCTTCAATTTGATCGCCTCCAAACATTCTGGCCATGCCAAAATCTGAAATTTTGGGGTTCATATCATGGTCTAATAAAATATTACTTACTTTTAAATCTCTGTGTATGATCCTTAATCTTGAATCTTGATGAAGATAAAGAATCCCTCGAGCAATTCCATTCAAGATGTCAAAGCGCTTCGACCAATTTAAAAATTTACTGTGAGTTGAATCTGCAAGATGGTCCATTAAGTTAGATTAGTCCTTCCTTTCAAAACTAATCAAGCTTTAATTATACTAATTGTAAAGCATGGCAGAAAATACTGACCGAAAAGAAATAAATCGAGGCTTCTGTTGGGCATGTATTCATAGACTAGCATTTTCTCCTCTCCTTCAATGTAACAACCAAGAACCTTAACAAGATTTCGATGCTGAAGTTTGGCACACAATATAACTTCATTCTTAAATTCTTTCAATCCTTGTCCTGAACTCCTTGAAAGCCTTTTGACTGCAATCTCTTGTCCGTCTAGCATTGTACCCTACATTTTACAATAGGTAAATAATTAGTAGATACTGGAATTCATGAGTTTATTTAGCCTTATTAATAGGCACGTTGCAAATTTACCTTGTATACAGGCCCAAAACCACCTTCCCCGAGCTTGTTGTCAATTGAGAAGTTATTGGTGGCACTAACTAATGTGGCAAGATCAAATAAAGGAAGCTCAAAATCTTCTTGTCGGCTTTCATCTTTCCCTACCATCGGTATGGTTTTGTCAGTTTCTTCTTTAATTTATTAAGAGAAATTAATGTTATATAACAAAATAAAACAATGAAAAGAAAAATACAAACATTGAACTTAAAGTTATAATCATAAACACTTAAACAGCCCCATTCATAACAGTACAGGGGAAGGGTTTTAACTTCCGTGGATGACACACATACTCATCGACCAAGTTCACTATACTGAATAGAGAAAGAACAAACCAAAGGCCTTAAACAGGCCAAACAAGTAAAAATGAAGTGTTACAAATTTGTATTCTAATAAATTTGCACGGAATGTTTAACTGTTTAGTTGTTCTGTTTATGAGATATTGCAGTAGTTCAATAGGAATATGTAAAGAACTTTGGGATACACCACCCCAAAAGCTAGCTCAAAGGGTGGGAGTGCCCAAGGCCTTATAAACTCCACATGTACAACTAATGTGGGACTATATATCTCAACACGCCCCCTCACACAAGAGCCCATTGGGCTTGAAGAGTGGACAATGCAACAGGCCCAGCCTACCTGTGCTAAGAAACGCCACAAGAGAAAGTGGGGGGCGGCGAGGCTCTGATACCATGTAAAGAACTTTGGGATACACCACCCCAAAAGCTAGCTCAAAGGGTGGGAGTGCCCAAGGCCTTATAAACTCCACATTAGTTGCACATACAACCAATGTGGGACTATATATCTCAACAGAATAATTTTAGAATCTTTGTGAAATAGAAAAGGCTTTCTGGCTAAGAAATTTACCTTTATGTTTTCTTTTGGTCAGGTAAATGTAGGAGAAAACCAATAGCATCACAAGGACAAATGAAAGAGTGATTGTAACCACCAAGACTACCTTTCTATTACGCCCATGTTTAGCATCTGCATTTACAGCTTGACAAAGAAATGAAGCAGTTGAGATTCCTAAATAAAAGCAATGCCCCTCTAATTAATATAATAGAAAGTTAGAAGAAAATAAACCATACCTTTACCCATATCTGCAACAGCCATTCGAACATATAGGTCTTGGCCACCTTGAGAAACTCTCAAATCAATAAGATCACCAAACCAGATGGAACAACCACTACCTGCACCCCTTATGTCAGTGTTTGCATAAGCTGTGCAGGAACAGTTTTCCAAGCATTTAGCCTTGCAATCTTCAAGTGTCATATTTTCATTAACCCAAGAATTTGTAGTGTCTGGCAATTTCATTGAAGCAAATTTTTGAAAACCATCTTTATTTTTGACCCTGCAGCTCCACGGTTCACTGCGCACACATCCTTGTGACCAGTCCATTGCATTCCACCGTTGAAATGATTTTGGCTCGAATCCTTCTAAACATTGGCAAATTGGAGCTCCACCAATGATGCAATTTCCATATACCCCACAAGCATTATAAAGATCACAGCTGTCTTGTGGATTGGAACGGTAAACACTCCAAGTTCTGGTTTCTGGAATCCAAGTGAGGCGTTGACGAAGATTAAGTGTTTGGTTCAAAACAAATATAGAAATCACAGAACTATTCTTAAGGGTGTATGTATAGTAAGCTTCCTCTTCATTGTTGACAAATTTGTAATTGAAAAGTGAATTAGGCCTCAATCCGAATGCTCCACTGAATCCAATGCCAGTCCAGGGTCCACTCCTATAGAACTCAACAGAGCCTTTCCACATTACCAATTCAGGGTTGCTAGTATAGACCATAGCTGAAGTAAAATCTCCTGAAGAGGGGTCGTCCCAATTCTTCCAACCAGTAAGACGCCGATTGAGACCAGTTTTTAAGTCATATCCGAACTTCATTCCTGGTAAAATTGTATCACAAGGATGATCAAAGCTCTGCCACATAAAACTTGTTTGATTGTTGTTGTCCTTCTCATCTACAAGTACCAAATTTCCAGTGTCTAAGAGCTGCACAATGGGACTTGAAACCTTAGTTGTAGAGTTTGTTGACCAAAGAAGAGTCTTATTCTTGCTGAGAAGCACCAGATTTCCTTCTTTGCTTATGATTAATTGGCTGGAGTTGTCTTTGATAGCGTTGTCACGGTTAGCAACCCAAACAACAGTTCTAACTTGGATATTTTTGTACCATATTCCAACATAGCGGTTTGGGGAACTACCAGTATTGAAGAACCCCAACTCAAAGATTCCATCATTAGAAACCAAGGTGCTGCCATTATCAGGAAGTGGCTGAAACTGGGTAATGGTATCAACTGCATAGGAAATATGAAAGAAAACAAAAAGTAGCTTGGAAATTAGAAGCATAGCTGGAAGGATGGTCATTTTGATTTAACTTGCTGCTGGAGTTGAATATATATATATGGAGATTGGGTGGTATAGTGTTTGAATAACATGATCGCAAGGAGCAGACTTGGTCTCTTGGGCGTTGCTTCACTTGACAAGGACGTAGGCAGGTCTAGAAGGCACAAGCACTTATGTCACAAATTTCAGTGATAATTTAGGGTGGCACATTAAAACAATTCATAGTCACCATTGTAGTTAACCTTCGATAGCAATGTTACAATAGTTTATATTGAAATATCTATACAATTTGAATCTTTTTTGGAGCATTGTACTATTTGCATTCTGAAACATTATTCTATTGTACAATAGATATTGAATAACCCTCTTGTGTTTTCTTCACAATTCACTACGTGCGATCATCAAATGATAAAATAATTATGTTAATTTCACAAGTAAGCATCCCTTGACCGGAACCCAGGCATGTCCTTGACGTATTTACAAAGGAGCGTCCTGGCCTAGCTACCAGATACGGACATGTGTTTATGGTCTGTTAATGATGATATATATACGAACGCACTACAGCATTTTTATATCATTTTTGCTGTGTCTATGTTGAAAATAGAGTATCGATAGTAGGACCAGAACATGAACCTTACGTCAAAGAAGTTGATTTATCAGCATTAAATTTTTCTACTTGTTTTTATCTCCTACTTTTTATGTACGAGTATTATTTCCCTTGAAAATATTGCCATATTGGTGGATGCGCTGATGTTTGAGTTAGACTTTTATTACTTACTGGTGAATATGCGTTGTATAATAACCCTCACTAGTAATTGGGGATTTAATATTCAAGAATAATTAGAAGTAAAAGAAATAAAGTCACCCTTAGTGAAAAATGAGTTAAAATGACAGTTAAGGGATAAAAATGAGGGTAAACAAAGTTACCCGAAAAGTGAAAGTAAAGTTAAAAATATGACTAGAAAAATATTCTAGTCCATTAGGTAAAATTTGGTAATAAATGGAGGTGTGTAGATAGATAAACCTTTACCCAGTTAAAGTAACTTAAATTTTACACACGGTTAAATCCTTATTTCTCCTTCTTTCTGCGCGCTGTTTCCTTTCTTTTTCGTCTCTCTCACTGATGCTCGACGCTTCCATGGAGAAAGGGACCTAGGTTATGTAACATCCCCGTCTCGAGCCGGTTCAATTAACATACATATGATAAAACAGAAAACAGCGGAAGACTTAACTTACGAAAATATGAGCTAACTTTTATCTTTTTCTAACTTAATTCTTTCTCGGCGTAAACGAAAATCGGGCAGAGTTTCCTCTATAAATCGGACAACTGGGGATTTTCCAATCCCACTCAGAAGCATTTCCTGATAAACAGTTTATACAACATATCAATTCGGAAATACCAGATATCCAAATATAATCGAATACCCATACATGGGCGCATGCATAACATGGCTCCGTGCCGCTAAATCTAACAGCATGCCATCAAAACATAAACCTATCTGAATACTACATCATCATATAACGTTCCTGAATACTCAAATGTACATGCATCAAACTGACAGACATGTACAAAACATATACAGGCCATATACAAAATAAAGGATCAATATCATGATCCATCAAATGCGAAAATACTAAAATACATCAAACACTCCAAAAAGGTAGCAGCCTACAGCCACTCAAAATCCGGTCTGTCAACTGCCTCAGCCACGTGTCGTGTCCCTGCCTAGTGAGGACTCACCGGAAATCTGGGCACCTGAAAATGTGTCCCCAAAGAGGGGTGAGATTACAAATCTCAATAAGCTCCAGGTTTATAGAGAATTCTCCATACCCCTGGCTCACTCCTGCATGAAAGTCAGATACAGAGTATACAAATACAACATATAACAGATATCATAACAGAACAGAGCATATATCCATATCATATCAGAGATGTGCGCCGTCATTCCCAAGGGAGGACCCCAAGCGGAAATCAACGCACGTGTTCCCGAGGGAGGACCCCAAAGCGGAACCAGACATATCAGAGGAGTACACCATCAGTCCCGAGGGAGGACCCCAAAGCGGACGTCCGGGTACTATACAATCAATGGCCAGAGATTGTTACAGAAATCAAATTACAGAAGTCACATCAGAGCAAAACATATCATGTTATCAAATAACTCTATATGAATGCATCTATACAAAGCATCTAAATCACAGTCATACAGTCCAACCATAGTTCACTAACCATGGTGGAGCACTCAAGCAGGAAAAGACTCCTTAAACATAGAGCTTACCTCTTGAAGCTTTACCAATACGCTTACTTGTGGAACAAGTTACTTTTATCGCTTCAAGAGATTTCCGATCCTTCTCAATCCCTAGGCACACCTAGAGAATAATTTACAATGCATCAATAAAATGATGCAATACCATAATTATTTCATAAGCATACATTTTATCGCTTATTTTCCTTTCTTTGCATTTTTGCCAATCCTATGCCAATACACAAGTCTAGACCTCTTTATAACCGTTGGTGTTCTTTAATTTAATCAACCATTCCCTTAGGAATTTTCAACATAAATCATGCTATTTTTCTTCAAAACTCATCACCTTTATACAATTTGTTACAACACATTTTATTTACAATAAAATGTACAAAATATGTCCCTAAATACCCTATAGGTCGAATCCTACAAGGGGAATTTCCAAAGATCCTTCTCTTTTACAATGCATTTTCGTTACTTCATTACAACTTGCAAACACCTAGGAATGCTTCCACTAAATTCCTATTTTGAGTTTAGACACCAAGTCCTTTTTACTTAGGCATTCTTACTAACTCATCCATTTTCACTCATTTCCAACACACTATACCTTCACAATACATAATATAATTTTTTCCACAATAACTCCTACTCACTCCATGATGGCCGAAACCTAGGAGGAATATGCAATAGGACTTTTAAATTTTTATATCACATGTGGATGCTTACTCAACACTATAACTTCCTAAACAACAATAATCCATCATAAATTTCACATTCTAACATCAATTATTTCCCAACAAAATATGCTCATCAATTTCATAACTTAAATCATCAAAATAATATCATGGAAATAGAGGTTTCTTACCTCTAAACACTTGTACAAAGCCTAGAGAGCAATCTCCAAGCCAAGCTCCATCCAAAAACTCACTTTTTCTCCTCCAATGAATAGTAACTCGAAAATGAGAGGAGGAATAACTCTTCACACACTCAACTATAGCTCAAATGGATAGGTGGAATGGATTCATTGAGTGGTTTCCAATCAATTTCATGTGGTGGGTCATTGGATTTGGTGGATGGATGATGAAGAAATCAAAGAAGGAAAATTTGAAACCCTAGCCCCTTCCCCTCCATGTGCAGCTCGGCCATGCAAGAGAGAGAAGAAGAAAATCTGAAATGAATAGTGTTTCATTTAAGTGACAAGGCTATATAGGCACATGTGGCCATTTTCATCGGATGTTTTTTTATCGCGTATTTTAACTTAAATTGACCCGGAACTAACTCAAAGCTACAAACATATTTTTTATTTCCTAAAATCATTTACATTAATTTTTTATTTCCTAAGGAACAATATTCATAATTCACAGTATGGTTTTTGCACCGTTTTTGACGAAATGCACTGTGCATCACTAATTGTACTTCCTTTACTTACGAAACTTAAAACTTATAAACTTATCATTTTCTTGGGCCTATATTGACTTGCTTGGCATATATTGGACTTTCTTATTCTTATTTCATCAATTATTTATTTCTGGACTCTACCGGTTGCTTAAACAGCAGTACAAAATACCCGGTAGAAACACTATTCACGAGATTTTCACGGAAAGTGCCATACTATACAATTTTTCGTTCTGAACTCATATTTGTCATCAGAATTTTCAAATTATATTCCTAAAATTATTTTGCTCATTTTAAGCTCTACCGGTTAATTCACAAAACTGTAAATTCTCCGGCAGAACGCACTGTTCATAACATAGTCATGATTACAGTCAAAATACTCGAAATCGCTCACTGAATCTAATTATGGCATTTAAATCCTTAAATTAAATCTCTAACTAAGATTTACCAGTTAGGGTCATTATATTCACCCCACCTTTTAAGGATTTTGCCCACAAAATCAAATATCAAATATACATATACCTGACATCAAACTCAGGATATCGCTGGAGAATTTCATTCTCCCGCTCCCAAGTGGCGTCCTCAGGAGTCAATCCTCCCCATTGTACCTTGATCATGGGAATAGTCCTGTTTCTCAACACTTTTTCATCACGTGCTAGAACCTTAAACGGTCCCACAACAAACTTCAAGTCTTTTCTTACTTCGATATTGTCCGGCTGTACAATGTGGGATTCATCCGGCACGTATTTTCGAAGTTGACTGATGTGAAAAACACTATGCAAATTTGACAGATGTGGAGGTAAGGCAAGCTGATAAGCCACAGGTCCAACCCTTTTCATAATCTGGTAGGGCCCAATGAACCTAGGACTCAACTTCCTCACTCCTAGAGCACGCCCAACACCCGTAGTCGGAGACAAACAGATAAATACATGATCCCCTTCTGAAAATTCAAGGGGTCTATGCTTTGCATCATAATAACTCTTTTGGCGACTCTGTGCTTTCTTCAATCGATCCTTAATCATCATAATTTGATCGGTAGTCTCTTGGACCATATCAGGCCCAAATAACTGCCTCTCTCCAATTTTTGACCAACAAGTAGGCGCCCTGCACCTACGGCCATACAAAGCTTCATACGGAGCCATGCCCAAACTGGCATGATAACTATTATTGTAGGAAAATTCCACTAGAGGAAGATATTTATCCCATGCATTTCCCTGCTCTAAGGCACAAGCCCTCAACATGTCCTCCAGGGTCTGAATAGTCCTCTCAGTCTGACCATCAGTCTGGGGATGATAAGCCGTGCTCAACCTCAACTGTGTACCGAAGGCCTGTTGCACTGCATCCCAGAGTCTAGAAGTAAATTTA